TGGTGATAAGTAGGAGAGACTGGAGCTAGTTATTACAATTTTTCACTTAGTTTCGCAGCTTCATCAGGCTTCTTGTACATTTCTATTCACTCTATCAGTTTTTCAATTGTGTATGTCTGTTTTAACTTTGTAGTTATGAAAAATCTGTTAGTGTTTTTTAGACGAAATAATGTAAACACCGTGTAATGACAGTAATAACAACTTTTACACAATAATATAAATTTATTGTGGTGTATCGAGTGGTGTGAAGTGTGTGGTAACAGTAGCCAGCCAGCTCCGTCTTCATTAATTTATGTGGACCGAGTTGACTCGTCTGAATAAATGAGTTTTTGTTGGTTTTCATGTTTAAACTTTCGAGTACACTGCCCAGACACCACACTTATAAAAAGTCAAACTCCATCGTAATTTACGACGACAGATAGTGGACCTGTTCCACTATCACCTGTTCTGTGTCTACAACTTTGCAGGCAACCAGTCTGTACTAATTTCGTGCTACAAGTTCTGTAAACAATGCATTAACAGGATCACAAGTTCCAGGTTCGCAATGTAATTCCTCCGTCCATTACGCCACTCTCCAATAATCGAAGTCGAAAAGGAAGATGACGCGAAGGAAATCATATTTTATAATTATGGCTTTTTGCGATTGGTGCAAAGAAAAAAAATCTCCCTCTATAAACACCATTTATTGTGTGTATTTTCAGAAGAAAAGTTCGGATAAGAAAACTAGAAAACCTTCAGTAACCATTAAACATTTATTGTTAAATTGCTTATATACATATATTTATGTACACTATATAAATAATTAAATTCATATTTCCCTTGTCTGTCCGTTTGTTGGAGTATGACGTGAGAACGTCTGGATTTCCACGAAAACTTTGTACTATACCGTACCGTACATTACGTTTAAGATAGGGAAAGACATAAGTTATTTTCCATTTTCAAAAACAATTCGATTTTATAAACTTTGATATCGTTTGCAAGATTAAATAATTCATACCTGGCTGTTATCACGTCTTTCGCACGAGTATGAAGTTTTTCCCAGAGGACGGTAGTGTGTCACCGAGAGGAAAAGCTTCAAATAGATCTAAGACGTCTGTATTCAATATTAATTAATTAAGCAAGGTCGCCTTTTTTTCGTAATTAATATTAAATACAGTGTAGTAATTCTACTTACAATTAAATACGGTTTATTATATCTATTTTTGTTGAGTAATGTCTTTACATTTAGCTTAGAATTGAATAAAAATGAGTTGCAATTTTTAATTTATTTAAAATACCGCATATGATTTTAGTAGTCTTGCCCCTGTACATTAAACTTTTCCTGTAAATAACAGAGTCATGAAGGTCAATATAACTTGATATTTTTATACAAATATAAGCTACACATCTGTTGTGCTTGTAAAACAAATCGGTGCTAATTGGCAGAGGTTGACCAAGAATTTGCAAAGACCTAGGCAAAATTTGTCTTTGATGCTCATTGAATGCCTTTATAGGGTAGATCTATTTGGGTCCACAGAACTATGAACAATTTTAATGCGTACAATAGTTATATAATCAATTGGAAAATTCCACAGGTGGTATAAAATATGTATGAATTGGGGACAAAATTTACAGACCCCCACCATCACAATGTTTTCCTCCGTGTGCGGCAAAAATTCTTTCACGTTTTCGCTTTAAAATTGAGATTATAAAACTAAATATTAATCAAAAGTATTGATATTCATAATTAAGAGACCGATCTTTAGTTCTTCGGAAATGGCGGATCATCTCGCGGATACATTTGGGAGTTTTAAATAGTTTTGAAACGGCGCAGAATCTGGCAACCGTCAGTAGCTACTCTTAAAGTGACTGGCAACATTAATTTGCTAGCCTTGCTACGTCATTTTTCTTTACTTTGTCGGCTGTTATGCACGTATATACATACACTGCGATCATAAATCCCTCTTCAGTGACATCATTACTTCCTTTTCGGAAACTCCTCTCGTTTCTGTCAACTGCGAAGGACTTTATATTGATCTGTGCTTGTGTTGACGTCTATTTTGATTAATATCTCGGGATTGGGTAAAGATTAAGAGAGAAAATTTGGTACGGTAACCTATATACAAGTGGCATTGATGCTATTAAATTTTGGTGGTTAAAGGTCGAGGATGTGGGAAATAGAAGGGTGTAATGTGTAATATCTTGGATGGGGTTGACTTAATGAAAATTTTCACCGTTATTACGATTTATATTATTTTTAGAAACTCATCTCTACCATGAAAATCAAGCCTTTCGCCTTATTATAATTAATAATACAAAAATTATTTTTATGACATTCCATAACAGATAGTGCCATACACAATTTTGAACCTTGCTAGTGTGTTTCTGAAACAAACACATTTTTGCCGGGAAAGTTACGCAACTCGTTGCTGCTGTTCTCTTCGTATTAAACAATGTTAATTGAAAATTATCATTTTCATTAGAAATACAATGTGTTGAATTTAAATTTTTGATAGGGTTTAAGGAAATAACGAAAACATGTAGGTCAAAATAAGCTTATTCTTATATACAATTGAGCCGAGATAATGAAGTGTCTCTAATAATCCTTTGTGTTTTTGAGATTATTTTTGTACTATATTATTGTCTCCAGTAATGAAGTTTGTTTATAGATTTCAATAGATTTAGCTTGTCTTATTCCTTATATAAAATTAGGTATAGAAATACACGTATTGATTGGAATCTGCATTTTTTGATGAAATTCTTGTCAGACGTGAGAGAGAAGTGTGCTGAATTAAACAAGAAATTTCAAAAAGTACCATGAATACACCAGGTTAATTTTTAGTTTCCGTTAGAGATTAGTACTGACTTTTTCGTATTTAGAGCGCATGTTATTGATAAAAAGACATTTATCCTATTATTAAACTCTCTTAAAATGATGTGTGTTGGCATTGTTATTTTCTGCAGTATCAGCATTATATTTATGGAGTAAATTGCTGCAGAGAATGCTTTTGTATCTTCCTTCTGCACAAATTACATAGGTGGTGTTACAAAGTTTTCTTTATGATCTCTTAGGTTACAGTTTCATTATTTTAATTCCATTTTGAATCATTATGATATTTTGATTAATTTTTGTAATCTGTATATATATAAAATAGAATGTTTGTCTATCCTCTATACACTTCTAAACCCTTTGATATGGACCAAATTTTTCAAACTCTCCAAGACTTTGTGGAAAACATAGTTACTATGAAACCTGGACATCACAATTTCATCCACTTGACACACTGATAATTTAAATCTAATACACTATTATATAAGTAATACAGTAGAGTCTCGAAAACTCGGCACTCGATAACTCGGCAGTCCGGACAACTCGGCCACACCCTGGCAGGGCAAAAATTCCTTAGTTAATTAATTTTCATTATAGACAGCTTTATGCCTCAAAGTATTTTTCTGAGGTCTGTCTTATCAGGTAAATTACTGTACACAGTGTATTCATTAATTTTCATTTTCATGTAGTAAAGGCTCTATGCCTCCATAAAGGACGTACTTTTCCTTTGTTTAAGGTTATTTGGGCAGTTTATTCTCTGTTGTATTCTCAAATAAACAATACATACAAGTACAGTACAGTATTTTCTGAGGAAACACTCATACTAATTTTTTTTAACCCCATTCCCAATAACCCAGCATTTTCACAAACTCGGCCACCCTTCGGTCCACATTAGGCCGAGTTTTCAAGACTCTACTGTATTATGAAGGTCCACGTACCAGATGGTCCACGTATCATATTCTTTGTGATATACAACATGGTGTATCGTTCACTAATGACAGAGTTGACTTTCCAAGCTCACCAACTTAAAGGTGATATCTTGCAAGAAATTTTTTACTATTGGAAAGACACCAACATTAAGAAAATTTATAAATATTTTTGTATGCCAAAGAAATTTCCTCATGCAAACTTTGGCATGCAAGCCTATCAAAGTTGTCATCGTCTATTTAAAATACAGTACGCCCAAAGTCACTTATGCCGAGATGTTACTCGCAATTCCATTACTTCAACGGGAGGAACTATATTACAAATAATATGTTACTGTTCAAAACCAGTTTATGATAATGTAACAAAACATTCTGTTAGATCATCAGTCATAGCAACTCTCAAAATTATTGATATTTTACAGGTAATAACAGATAAAGTTTCTAAAGGATTACATTACAGGACAGTTCTACAAAAATAATAATAATTAAGTTTTTCGATAAATAATTCACTCATGACATGTTATTCTCAAATGATTGAATTCTCTGTTTTTTTTATAATTCTTTCTGTGTCTGGTTATTAAGACCTTTTTCCTCCCAAACCCATTGTGAATTCAAGCAGCCATATGATGGGTGCAGCCAAGTGATGAAGGACAATATATCCAGAATTAGATTGATGGGATACAGCAACACAACACGTAAGCAATCTGCCAAGGTGGATGGGAGGCTTTTTTTTTAGTAGGAAATGGGCCCCTACATAGATGTTAAGACAGAGCAAACCCAGAAAACCGTGGTGAGTCTATTGGCGAGGGACAAATCTGCAACCAACCATATAGTTTCATCCACTTGACCACCAGTAAGTATAGCTAAGCCTGACTGTCCAGGAAAAATTTCCGTGGAGTTGCTTGCCTGAATTCAATCTCAAGTTTGCCAAAATGTCAGACATTTTGGGGAACTTGGGATCGAAAACAAAACGAGGGTGGGCCTAAACAAAGCTTATGATGGTTGGATGGGCCAACATCTCAGCCCATCACAGTACACCTTGTTTTTAACTAAATTCTGGACAGTATTTTTCTAAGCAAACTATCAAGAAATATATAGAAAGAAAGATATTTGTTTCAAGAATTTATTACAATATTAATTTTAGTTTGCATTTTGCAATTTTTAGATTTCCAGAAAAAAAATTCTGACCATCTAAAAATTACTTCCAACATACGTTTTGCACAATGCAAAAACCCGGAAACTTAAAAACTAACTCGACTAAAAGCTTTAAAATTCACATCTCAGACTTTATTTTTTCCTGCATTGCTTCCTTTTTCAATAATAATAATAATAATATTTATATAATAGATAAATATTCACAAAATAACAGTAAAATTACAATATGACAATGAAGATATATTCCTACTCATTCTGTGATCTTTTACAAATGTACAATATACTTTTGCTTAAACCGGACTCGTTAACAATTTATAAAATCCATCATTATGCTCGAAACAATGAATAATCTATAATGAAACATAATAAATGCCTACTTTAAATTTAAGTGTACAAAAATTAATCTGTTTGTGGGAGAAAAAAAAACCTAACTTAGAACTAAATAATCCTGTTTCGAAGTCCGTCCAGACGTTTAAAATAAATTCGCATTATAATACTATTTTTCAAATATAGCATGGTGACGAGAATGTAGTGCTAAGGCCACGTCGGAAACAACAGTAATATACTGTCTTAGACATATTATGCCGGATAAACTAATTTACAGAATATGATGAATGCCTAGCCACGACGGGCAGTATGATAACATCACAGACGACGATTATTACATTAAATTTTATATACTTATGTTGGGTCAAATCTCCCTCTCGATAACTATTGCACTGGAAAGGGAACATTTAAACTCTGCAATGTCTAAAAACCCATTACGAATCTTTGGCTTTGTATAATGGGAGAGACTTTTATAGTTGGATTCCTACTTTATTTTTCATACTTACTTAATTCCTCTTGTAGAACCTGTAACGTGTCCAAAAGAGACTTCTTTTCTTCTTCTAGTCTTCGTACGTCATCCCTCGTGTCTCTCAACAGTTTATAAAAAATGTTGTTATCATGCGCGTTCCTTAACAGTTGCAGTTCCTCTTTGAGCAATTTATTCTCTGTTTCTAAACTTTCTATTAAATCGGACTGTCCTTTCGATCTTTCCAGCTCTTCTTTATCTTTTCTTTGAATGTCGTCATCCGGCAATTTCCTAGGAGAATCACTTGTACTTTTTATCTGCATGCACCGGCAGTCCATACTCTTCTCTATAGGAGACGAAGACAACTTGATGGGCGTCAGATTCTCTAAACCTTTAGGATCGGCAAGTAGGGACTTCCAGTCACATTTATCACTTGCAATTAAAATTGGAAGACTTTTACCATTTTGACAATTGATGAGTAATGGAAGATTTTTATCTATAAAATCTGTAAATATACAATTTTACAAAAATCGTAAATATTTGGTTATAATAATATATTAAAATTATTTTATTATTGATAAACATGCGAGCGTTATTTCACACCGCAGCCTCACTGATACTGTTAATAAGCATTGTTGCAAGCAATTGTCATTCAGTTATGGAAGCAAACAAAACTACAGTTCACAAACATAAGCAGTCCCGAAAACACGAGCAGTTATTTCTCATTAAATGTGACCACAATACTCTGTAGGGTCACTTCAGGCCTTAATAACAACTTTGCTGTGTTCTGGCATGAGTTTCTTCGAGCATTCTTTATCAGACTTGTGATACTAAATGTTGTGTGTCAGTTTAAGTGACAATAATGCTAAGAAACCCTAGAGAAAGAATACATTATACTTTACTTGCCATCTTGGTGTGATGAAATGGCACATCATCATTCCAAAAGATGGGAGATTTTGTGTCCAAAATTGTTTCTTGATTGTTAGAATTAGCTTGGAAGATAAGATGTTTTTGTAACTCTCTGCATTCACATACTCATTTATAAAGTGTAACCTGTCAAAATCTTTAATAAATATACATTTAATCCTGGAAACCAATGTCTACATCAAGCAATTATAGGTCTGTTGTAGGCCTTGCCTTTACAATGTCTAGCATAGGATTTGCCATCAGATTTGTGCAGATTAAATTCAGATCAATCCAAATACACAACAGAATCTGACATTTTGGCACTCTGGTCCACGTGCCATTTAATCCGGATAAGCTGCTGCTTGTGCATTTTACATTCAGTAACAGTTTCTTATGTGCTTACATGGTAAGCTTTTAAACCCACATCGCCCAATGTCACATAATTTAAGTGCTTGCTTTTGTTGTAAAAGTGACATAATAATATATTAATTTTTATCCGTGTTATATAAATACAGTAATAAATTTCAAACAAATTTATTTGCTATACATTTAGGCAAATCTTACCTGATGGAAGTGGTAAAAAATGTATATAGCCGTCACCGGTTCTTTCGAGTAAGCAGCCCGGCAAATGAAAGTGTAAAGGAACGACACCCGGAGAGGTAATATATACAGAGGGTCTATCTTCCTGTTTAATAAATTTTAAAGTAAATTTTAAAAAAATGTAAGTAGAATTAATTTNTTAATAAATAATTTTAAAACATAAAATAAATCCCGTTTATATTTGATCCACCCTCGTAGTTGTGATCCAAGTTTGGTGAAAGCACACCTTCACACTGAAGATAGACAATATATATAGTTTACTTATAAAATATATAATAGAGTATACAAGTTGAAAAACACAGTAAATACAGGATACAAAAAGTGTGGTTCCTAACGTACTAGTTTAACTTTTGAGAACTATTATGCTCTGGAGAGGCCTCGGTCAGCCTGTGGAGTAGCTCTACTGCACGGTTCATCCGGTCTCGCACTTACCCGTTCCTGAGATAGTTACCAGAGGAGTATGCTCTCTCTAAGCTCAGTGGGCTTCCCAAGAGCCCGAGACTTCCGTGTTACCAGTCTCAAGCCCTTCTCTCCCGTTTGCTCTGCAATTTATGGAATTTTTGGACAGGAACTTCTAACCAATTACAAATCTTCCTTGCGGCAAACAGGTTTCACCCAAGTCCGCTTTGATCAGATGAGAGTGAAGCTTACATTTACGTCCACCAATATCCGACCGACTTGTTTATGGCCAGGAGTACACTATCTGGCAAGTGGTCTATCACCACCCCACCCGTGGATCCAATTAGTGAGGTTAGTGCTTTTTTCGTTCCTTCTCTGTTTACAAGCCAATACTATACACCATTTGTTCAGATATGCGAATAAGATGCATCAGAGAATATTGGTAAATACTTCAAGTTTCACATGTGTATGCTCAAGAGAGTCATTGCCGCTGCTTGATGATGATGATCCTAAACTCACTACCATACAATCTAGATTGTCGGGGCCCCATTTCGCAGATTGCCGAATCATCTGACATTGTCTTTTTGAACTTTTTTCTTTGTGGGCATATGTTACGAAAGTGCCATACACAAGAATCATGGATACTCCTAACATACTGGCTCGGATTTGAACTAAATCAAGTACAGACCAAATATCAGACATGCCACGTTGAGAGCATATTTGGAAATGTACTGATTTAATGTCGTAATTTAATTTTTTCCCATACACTTTCTGTTACCACTGTCTACAGTACTACTGTACGCTAACATTTCCTAAAATTAATCCACAAAACTAGAAGTATCTGAGGGAAACAGCCTGTATAATCATATAGTTTAATAGTGATATCAATAAAATGAAATATTAAGAGTGGATAATATGCAATGTGTGATTACAATATCATCATTTAAATACATCCCATTTACAAACAAGGATCAATTTACCCAGGAATATAACCAATCATATCAGAAACACATCTGTGGGATCCAGAAAACCCATACATTACAGTAGAGAGCCATTTTCGACATCATTTCAGAGCTGATGTGTGGTGTGCATTCATTGGTGGTTAGACCACACGTTCTTCTGATTCATGTGACAAAAGAACTATATATCAACTTTCTAGAAAATGACCTTTTGGTCTTCTTAGAAGACATTCCTCTAAAACATTTGTCCTCCTGTACATTGTCGCATGTACAGGGTGTCCAAAAAAAATTGATGGGCAGTGAAAAAGGTTTAAGTTTTACATATGATATTACAGTTTCTCCCATAGCATATGCTGGAAACATCCCCAAAAGCCCCAAAATCTGGAGGAGTAAGGTCCGAAGATCTAGAGCAGTGGTTCCCAATTAGTTTTTCCTACATACCACTTCAAGAAAGAGCTAAAACTCGCGTACCCCTTATAGCAGAAATCCATATTAATCCATACTAATATTATAAATTCGAAGGCAATTCTGTTTGTTACCTTTTCATGTCTAAACCGCTAAACAGGTTTTAATAAAATTTGCACAGAGATAGCTTACGAGGTCTGTTCAAAAAGTATCGGACTTTTATTTTTTCCGTGTAAACCAATGATGCACGGGAGGCCTCTTTCCGTGGAGTTGTGGAGGGGACAGTCATGCGAGGCCCTGAAATTTTTCCCGCCTGCAGGAAGCGTCAGTCGTTGGCAGTCGGCCTATGAGTGAGGACATGTAGTGAGCGCTCGTCGGATTCCACTAACTTGTAAGTTGAAAAATGACTGAACAGTGAGCAGCGATATTACATCAAATTTTGCCAAAAACCTTGGCGATACCTGAGCGTAAACCATTCGCAAGATTCAGCAGGCTTTTGGGGACAATCCTCGAGGCCAAAAAAAGCGCGGCAGGTCTGCAGCAATATCAAGGTCATGTTGACAGATTTTTCGACTCCCATGGGGTGGTGTATCATGAGTACGCACCACAAGGCCAAACCATCGCAAAGGAGTACCACCAGGAGATCCTTCGTCGTCTTTCCGCTGTGCGACGCAAACGACCGGATCTGTGGTCGATCAAAACTTGGCAGCTCCATCGTGATAACGCATCCGCCCATTCTGCGCATCTGATTCGGGCTTTCGTCGCCAAACACAATACTCCTGTGGTTCGTCA